GAAGGTTGATTGTGGAAGAGTAATATGATTTATGTCTAATGTATCTTATGTTACCTGCTATACAGATACCATTTATTTGGAAATGACTATTATTCTTATTTTTGACAATGATGATGATAATGATGTGTAGACAGACAGATGCCAAATCCATGAAATATTTTGACCTGCAAATCATGTGATGTTCAGTTCATATAGCATGTGTTCAATAAATACTAGCTCAATAATTAACTGCCTCTGGTACATAACAAACTAATAACAACAACAATAATAGCTAATAATTATAATAATGCCTACTATGTGCCAGACACTATGCTAAACACTTTATAATAGTATATATATATATATGTATATAATATTATCTCATTTGATCCTCACAAATCTGTGAGGTAGGTGCTATTTCTATCCATTTTACAGATGAAGATACAGAGGCAAAAAGAGGTAAAGTGACTTGCCTGAGGTCACACAGCTAGTGAATATCTGTGGCTAGATTTGAGGTCTCCCTAACTTCAGGCCCGATATTCTATCCACTGTACCACCTAGTTGCCAAAAACTAACCGTTATATTGGTATAAGCAAATTTAACATACTAACATACCTTGCTTAGCATAAGTTCACTTAATTGAATTCCAAACTTCAAACCTTCACGAGGCAGCCTGATGTGATAGGAAGAATATTAGACTGACAGACTAGAGACCTGAGTTCCAGTCCTAGCTCTGTTTCTTACTCTCTGTGGTCTTGGTGAAGGTGCTTGACCTCTCTGAGCCTCAGTTTCCTCATTTGTCCAATGGAGAAACCTCAACACTCATTTCTTTAAGGGGCAACTAGGTGGTGCAGCGTTTAGAGTGCCAGGCCTGGAGTCAGAAGACTCATCTTCCTGAGTTCAAATCTGGCTTCAGACACTTATAACTGTGTGACCCTGGGCAAGTCACTTATTCCTGTTTGCCTCAGTTTCCTCATCTGTAAAATGAACTGGAGAAGGAAAAGTTAAACCACTCCAGTACCTTTGCCAAGAAAACCCTAAATGGGGTAAGAAAGAGTCAGACAGGACTGAACAACACCAAATCTTTTTTTTAAAGCCACAATGCTTAGGATAACCATGGGTAAAGTGATTTAACTACCTTCCCAAATCAATAAATTAATCAATCAGGATTTACTAAGAAACATCCTGTTCTGAAGCCTCACTTTGGCTTGGAGGTGACCCTGGGCTCTCAAAGGCTAAACCAGTGAAACACAAACTTTGGCAATACCCTAACAAACTGAAGAGACTTTGAGCACGGGCCCAAGAATGGGCTGTATCTCTGTCATTCAAAAACTAGGCTGAGTTTGAGGAGTCTCATTATCAGGTCTGCCAAAAAGTGATCAGACTTTAGCCATAACAACTCACACAGTGCCTGCTACATTGCAGGTGCTCAATAAATGCACCTTCAATCTAAGTTCCTTGAGGGCAATGACTGATTTTTGCCTGTATGTTTGTATTCTCAGTGTCTACTACATTGTCTGACACATAATAGGTACTGTAAAATGCTTGCTGATTCATTGGATTGGATTGAAAATCATCTATTTAGGGAGAGAAGGGTGGTGCTCTGGCTCCATGGAGAGAGTGCAAACACAAGTGAAACAACATTAAATATGAAGCAATATACACAAGTACATATATCCTTCTAGTGTGAGCATAAAATAAGGCTGCTACTTATGTAAATCATAAATATTTGTTTGGAGGACAAATTTTTAAGTCATATCATAGAAAGCACAAAAGAACCACTGAATACTTCCTCAAAGAAGCTCTATTAATTCCAAAGATAATAGTAGTAGTAGTAGTGGTGGTGGTAGTGGTGGTGGTGGTGGTGGTAGCAGTAACATTTATATCAAATTTTTAAGATTTGTAAAGTACTTTCCACATATCTCATTTGATCTTCTCAACAATCTGTGACATGCTATGGCCCCCCATTTTACTGATGAGGAAACTGAAGGATGGAGAGGTTTTAGTGACTTGCCTAGAAACACACAATTGGTAAGTATCTAAGGCAAGATGTGAACTCAGGACTTCCAGAATCAAAGATCATCATTGTATCTATTAAGCTATATCTCTAAATGCCTTCAAGGTAACATAGGAAAAACATGTATGTGGTAAAATGCTCTTGAAATGGAGCAAATGATAGTTAGAAGTGAGTTTCTCAGTCAGCTTCAGCCTTCTGCAGACAGCGCTTCTCCATCACATTTTTCCAGATAGAACCCTGAATAACTTTGAAGAATATGGGCACCCTTCTTAAACAACAGCTTCTCTGAGCTGTGAATGGTGTGCAATTATATTCATCCACAAACAAAATCTGGATTATCTTGTGCTTTTTTAATTATTTCTTGCAGTGGGAAAATGAAAGTGCTATCAGCAAACCCAAAAGACTTCAGTGAATGAAATCAGGAAGTAATAGTGTAATGCAATTAATGTTGGCAAGTGTGAGAAATATGGGGGGAGGGGACTTCTGTGAATAAACTCAGAGCTTGAATAAAACCTTATCAAACCAAAGGAATGAGTGTATTCTTTAAAAACATAATAAATTTTCCTAATAATTTGTTTCTACATCACCAACATTTCTCCTTGTTTCTCACCCTTACCTCTCCCAAAATCCAACCCAGACAACAAATGATATTTTTAAAAAAAGGAAGATAAATCAATCAACAAAAATGATCATTATTTCAAAAAGTCTAAAAATACATCCAATGTTGCCCTACTGAGGACCTCCCATCTCTACAAAGGAGTAGGGTAGAGGTGTCTTCTCATATTTCTTCCTTGGGGAAAAAAATGGGTGAACTATTCTTGTTCTTGGTAATTTGGTAATTGAATAATCACCTCAGCCACTGAAATAAAGAATGTGATATGTGCATTAATAGAATCATTTCTGTGATGTCTAATCATTTAAAAGGGTCTGATCACATGAAATACAGTAGGAGTTGAAGAATAGTCAACACAAAGTGAAATGCATATTTATTCATGTGTGCCATGGGATTTTTTATGATTTAGAAATCCTTGGAATTAGAGCTGCTAGGGATCTTTGAGGTAATCCAGTCCTAATCCTTTCATTTTATAAATGAGGAAACTGAGGGTCAGAAAAGTAAAGTGATCTGTCCAAGTGGGTACCAGAACCCCATCTTCTGACTTCCAGATCAATCAGTAGTCTTTCTGACCAAAGTCACAGAAGTATTCAAATCATTCTGGCCTTAAGTAGAATGTAAGCTTTTGAGGCCAGCAACTGCCTTTTCTTTTTAATTTCCTTCCTGAAGATATAGCAGAGTGCCTTTAAATATAGCAGGCTCTTAATAAATTCCTGAAAGATTTAAATACTTTGCCAAGTATATAACTATTTTAATGTATTTTTAAAAAAAACTTAAAGCTTTAAGTATAAAAATGTCATGGCCTAAAAACCCTCATTTTTTTCCCTTCATCATACCCTATAGCATTGGAAAAATTGAAAAGTCATCATTATGAATTTTTATGAAAAATAAAATATGTATATATAGTATAATAATATAAATTATTATAGGTATAATTAGGTATAAATTATATGGCAAATTTCAAAGATAGGAGCAGTCATCTCATTTGGGAGTTTGCTTAGCTTTCTAAAAAAGTGAGAGTTAAGAATCTGAAGTTTTTGATATGGAAATAACACCATACCAAATGAAGATATCTTCTGGGTTCAAAAGTAGAAATCCCTAAAGATGCCAAGGCCAATTTCCTCAGCAATCACTGCATATCAATCAGACAATGATATTTCTAGACCAGTGGCTCTGTGAAACTTAACTGTTCTTGAAACCTTAAATGAATTTCCAGTTACAAGTACTGATAAGAAGAGGGAAAAACTTCTCAAAACCTCAGTTTTCTAATTTGTAAATTATAACAACAACTTGTGATTTCAAGTTTGTAAAGCACTTTAAAAATATTATTCATTTGATCCTCACAACCCTGGGAGGGAGGGTGCTATAATTATTCCCATAAAGTTAAGTTTTATGGGAATAATAATGCAATATTATAATGAGGAAACTGAGACAGACAGGTTAAATGACTTGCCCAAGGTCACATAACTGGTAAGCATCTGAATTTGAACTCAGGTCTTCCTGACTCCAGATGCAGAGCACTATTTGCCTCAAGAGGCTGTCATGAGGGCCAAAGGAAAAAAATCTTTTTGAAAGTGTTTGACGGAAACCTAGTAGAACACTATTACATTAGCAAATCTTCCTCATTAGTTTGTTGTTGTTGTTGTTGTTGTTGTTTTACTTTCAGTACCATGGAGAGAAGACAAACCTCGATTTAAACCTTGCCTGGATTCTTCACTTGAGGTGTACATGTGCCTAGTTTCAGTGGATAATTGCTAAGCTGTAAATGTGGATAACTAAGCTGTATTTACATTCCTTTGAAACTTATAGGACAAAAATGAAGAAACTTTCATCCACAGCTCTACCTGGTTCCCACTCCTCCATAAAAGGTACCCCTTGTTTTCCTCCCACACCCCCAGCTTTTCACCTTCCTTTTGTGCATGTCTTCCCCCATTAGATTTTAAAACTCTTTGAGGGCAGGAACTGTCTCTTTTTCCTTATGTATCCCCAACACTTAGTATAGTGCCTGACACTTAATAAATGTTTATTAAATCGAACTGAATTGAAAATACCTACCAGTAGAATCCCTGCCAGATTCTAGCCAGGACCCCCACTGAAATTCTATAGCCAATACTAGATCATGCAAAATACTACTCAGTCTTAGATTCAAGGTCTAGATGGAAGAGGGGAAGTGGGAGAGAAAGGGATCAGGACATTATTCTCCGTGAACAAAATGCTAACTCATCCTCCAGCCCAAGAACTAAAGACTCATATGCATTAATGTCCCAATACAGTGATAGATACAGTGAGTGAGATATTCCCATCTACTGCAAACAAATTGTGTTCAAAGTATTGGAAGTTCTTGACATTTTGGATATAATTAAAAATGAAAATCAAAATAAAGTTGCTTACCAAGGCTGAATTCCAGCTTAGGCTCATTTGCACTCTTCTGAATACCTACAAATAAAAGATGTTAATAAGTTCATCAAAAAGATATAATTCCTCATTTTGTGTCTACTTTAACTCATAGAATTATGAAGTAATATTGGCGGCAGTGGTGGTGGTGGTGGTGGTAAGTAGTAGTAATGACATTTATATAGCGCTTTAAGGTTTATAAAATACATATATAAATATCTTACTTGATCTTCATACTAACCCTGTATGGAAGGTGCTATTATTACCCCCTTTGAAGAGATGAGGAGACTGAGGCAAACATAGACTAAGGGACTTTCCAGGGTCACATAGATAGTCTGAAGCAAGATTCCAGTCCAAGTCTTCCCAACTTCAAGTCCGGGTCTCTACTCCTTATATCACACTCCCTCTATCTCATTTTCATTTGTCTACAAGATGTAAAGTAAACCTACACACTGGCAATGATAATCTTTTAAGAACAAATGAGTCCAATATATTTATTACTGCAAAGATCTAGCAATCCAGAACTGCCAATGCCTACTTTTCCACTTGACAGACATGCAAGCCATTGAAAATTGGACTGGCCACTTCTTCCAGCAATGCCTGAAATTTCTACACAGAACTGATAATATAACTGACTCATCAAGGACTTGCTGTTTTATCAATACTCCTTCTACCAATGATAGTTCCTTTATATCTTTGTAGATGATCAACTTTGTCAGTTGTAGCCAAAGAATTTCATGACACAATGGCTGACCTTTTTTTTTTCTGATAAACTTCTCCCATAGGAATAGCTAGTTTTTATGTATTACTTTAAGGTTTAAAAAGTGCTTTATAAATTTCCCATTTTATTTTCATGATTATTATCCCCATTGTGCAGATGGGGAAACTGAGGCAGGCAGCAGGTAAGTGACTCTCCCAAGGTCAGACCACTGGTGAGTATTTTTGGCTGGATTTGAACTCAGATCTTTCTGTCCCCATGTTTAGCACTTCATCTCCTGTGTCATCTAGATGCCTCTCCATATAAAGGGTTTATTTCAGTCGCCTTGGAGGGTTTTTTGTTTGTTTGTTTTGAACTGTTTTCCAGGCAACCAAAGTATTATTACAAGACCCTATTTATTTCCCAGATAGGGTTGAATTTTTATTAATTAGACTGTGTAGATTATTTAGGGGGAGGGTAGGAAACTGAGTATTCATTATGGGGAGAGACTAAAAATATTGGGTGATTCATGGGTAAAGGGAATGAGTACATAGTGGTGTCATAGAAATATTGCTGGAACTGGAGTCAGAGAACCTGAATTTAAATTCAGGTTTCACCTCCTTACTAAGGCTAGTGTGACCTGGGGCAACTCATTTAACCCCTCTGGGCATCAGTTTATTTATCAGTAAAATCAGAGGTTGAACTAGATGGCTGGCCTCAAAGATCCCTAAAAATCTAATGTGACATGGTTCCTGGACAGTCATGATGGTAATAGGGAATGAAGAACAAGTTAAAGAATTCAATCTGGACTCCAAAGCTCTGGGTTCAAATACTTACTCAACTACACATCACTTATGTGATGTGAGCTTGGCAAGTCACTTATTCTGTGCCTTAGTTTCTTCATCTGTAAAATATAGACAAATGGACTAAATAATTTTCAGGGCCCCTAAACCCTATGATCCCACAGTTCTATAATCTATATGGTCAGTTACTATTCCTTTAAAGAAGCAAAGACTGATGTGGATAAATGAATTTATCCATCAGATTAGTTTCTAATGATCCATTTTCTTTTAACTTCATGGGGGAAAAATGACGTAACCAAATACAGTCAGAAACATTTCTATATTATTAAAAACAACAACAAATCCTGTTTGCTATTTAAAGGAGTTAAAATTTTTCATGGTTATTATCATTTTTAAATAAAATTCCAATATAAACAAGGACAAACTAAAAATGCCAATACAAGGTGTGTTTGTGTGAACTCTAATCATCTGAATTTTTCCAAAGCTTATTATAACTACTGTATTAACTCAGCTCTAAGCCCTGACAACTCTAACCACAAAAATGAATTTAAAGATTTGTGGATGATGTAAACTGAATATTTAGGTATCCATTTGTCAGTGCCAAATGATGAAGCAATAGAAATCCTCGGGATTTTTTTTTAAGGATAATACAATTCATACTCAAAGAGTGTAACTCAAGACCCTGGTATCTTAAGCATGAGAGAAACACTCTGTTCTCCAAAATATATTAATCACTTGTATAATAAAGAGAACAATTCTAGGGCTCAGATGGTAAGCTGGGCCAAACCTCTAAGCCTGGCAGGCCTATTTATAGCTCTATGGTGCTTTATGCTGGGCTCCAGGTGCAGCCTAAAGGTTCAGATAGTGTTGTGTTTCAGATACTTTTAAATTAATTGCCTTTAGATTTTTAAAAAGAAGAAAACCTTGAAGGAAATAGAACTAAAATAATAACATACACACTGCCTGCAACTATGTGATGTAGACAACATTAATCAGCAACAAAACTCAGGTCAAATACAATGGAGAGCATTGGTACTAATATGTTAAAGTGAAAACAGACAGCTTTTCTTTCTTTGAACAAATATTAAGTTGTAAAAAGCCAGGGTTGCATGAACTGTCTATTATAAATACTTTTTTAGGCCAGTAGTGTTGAAACTGAAATAGAAATGGAATCACTAAACAATATTTAAGGAACCCAAATTGTTGATTTAGAAAATCACAAATTAACATCATCTATGTTTTGTTACATTTTTATTTATTTTGGTAAATATTTCCCAATTATTTTTAATCTGGTTCTGGCACACTAGGGAGTATTGAGGACCACGCTGGCCTGTGTTTCGCACTTCTGTTTTACATTATATTGTTCAGAGCCTTGACCAGCAATTTTGTCCGCCTACTCCATTGCAGGGCAATGTGCCTAGGTTAAGCATCAGAAAATGCACCCTCTCACTTAAATCCAATTCCCTTGCACAACATGGCATCACCTCCCTGATGTCATGGTCCTCTTGGAGAATGAAAGGCAAATCAGAATAAAAACAACAACAACAATTTTGGTCTCAAAAGAGAAATTCAGTATGAGAGAGCAAAGAATCTTTGACACCGTCCTCCATAGGAGGTTACTTTCCTGAAGGCAGGATGGGGTGAGATCCTGGAGGAAATCACCTTGGGGCATGACCATGGCGTGAGTGAGGCAAAGAGCAGACCAAGTTAATGTGCTGCCTGATGTCTTCCTACTTTAATCATTCTTGCCAAGAGCTCATCTTGGCTGCTTGCAGCTGCAGTCGGGGGTAAGGACTATCAATAACCTATGAAAATCAGTGAAAGCTCTAGTTACAGTTCTAGTTTCCATTTACTCCTTTTGCAACTATAACTTGTGAGTGACTTGTATGGGTAGTTGTTTAGATTTGTCTATCTAAAAATAAATTTTATCAACAATATTTTAAATTGCTAAGTGGCCAGTGGATAGGCACAGTTTTTTGGTTTGTTTGTTTGTTTGTTCTTTTAAGCTATTGGGGTTAAGTGACTTGCCCAAGGTCACACAGCTAGTAAGTGTCAAGTGTTTGGTCTGAGGTCAGCTTTGAACTCAGGTCTTCCTGACTTCAGCGCTAGTGCTCTATCCACTGCGCCACCTAGCTGCCCCCTGTTTTGTTTTTTTGTTTTTTAATGGAAGATTTGTAAACTCTCAGAAATCAAGTCAGCCTTTGCTCCAAATCCCTAGAGGTGAAAAACAAATTAAAACCAACCTGAATTTTATTGAAACAGTCAATGTGGAAGGGACTGCTGGAAGATAGGGATACTTATACACTGTAGGTGGAGCTATTACTTGGCAGTATGGGTTCTGGAGAGCAGGAAAACTCCAATGCATTCTAATGACCAATCTTATTTTCAGAAACCTGATGAGGGAACACCTCTCCCTATTGCAGATTCTGGGTCTCTGTCAGGTCTACATGAATATTTTTTTCCATTAGAAGAATGTATTCAGTTAGAGGGGATAGTCATAGGGGAAATGAGTCTGATATAAAAACAAAAGGCATGAACAAACTTATTAAAAGAAAACAAAAATAATTGCCAAATTAAAAGCAATAACATTTTGAGAGACACTGAGTAAGTGCTAACCGAGACACAGACAAAAAGAAATTATCTACCAGTTTGAGGGTTGTTTCCTTTCTTTCTTTTCCTCTTTGCTGTTTGTGCAGGCAATCAAAACTTTATTATGTGACCATGCCCCAGCTACCTGGGGATAACTTTTCATCCAACTGCTTGGGTAGGCAATTTTAGCATGAGGAAAGATGATGGAAGGAGAGCTTGAAGATTTCGGGGAGAGATTGTGAATATTATGCGAGTCATAAGAAAAAGGACCTATATCCTATATGTGTGACTTTGGTGGTAGTGGTAGCTTTTGGTTGGTTGTTTCTTTTTGTTATGGTCCTGGTATTTCCCACTACCCATTTTACCACTTTAGTTCCCACAATACATGAAAGCAGATAGTTTCAAAAGTTCCAGGTGTAGTACCCCGCATTTCACCTTAATTGTATAAATGAGGGTGCCCATTTTTTTTCCACTAGAGGATGAGAAAAACAAAGTCTTACATCTACACAATTGGTCACAGGATAAACAATTCAATCATTTGTCATTAAACTAATAATAAAAGAATATTTATAAGAAAAAAACTAACTATATAAAATGATTCATTGATTCTCTCTGCTTTTGTCTGAATTCTGTCATTCCAATGGCAAAAGCAATAGTGAGGCCAGTCAATATACTTACTTGTGAACTGGAGTTCTCCCAAATCATTTGCCTGGACTGTTTGAAGAAAATGCTGCCCTTCCTCTGCTGTTTTTTCCTCCTTGATTTCCATGGCAAACTGTCTCAGGGACGTATTTCTATTTCTTTAAATTTCCAAGTTTCACAGCCCAAGTGAAAGTGCCCAGGATTTCCAGATTAGCGTTGCTGGGGTCTCTGGGTACAGATGCAGGCCTCCTCAATGATGATCTGCACTGAGAACATAGTAACAGGCAGTGAGGATCCCAGATACTTCCCAGCCTGTTGCAGAGTATGCATAGGGTTGGATGTTCTAGGTGGCATCTACCCTCATGAGCCTTCCCTGTCACAGTGTCCCACTCACCAACCCAACAGTCTTGCACAATCCACTGCCTTTCACTGCTGATGGAATACGTGGCAACGCTCAGTTCAATCTCTCTAGCTGCTCCCCAAGCAATTAACATGTTGCAAAACTAGAGAGTGGAATTATCAAAACTGAAATGTGAAATCCTTTTCCTATAGCACAGATTCTACAGCTCAGCAGGCAGCTATCAAGGCTGCTAACTTAAACATGAATTCGATTTAGCAGTAACCCCAGACAGCAGCCTGACAAAGGCACCAGTGGGATTCACTAAGGTGAGTGTGTCTATCATTCCTTCTATTAGAACTGTCCTTTACGCTCAGGTTCTCATTTCTCCTTGCCAGAGCACTGCTCATCAAAGTGCAGAGATAATTTCCTGTGACATTGCTCCTCCATGAGGAATCAGCAGATTGTGTGTGGGAGCTTCTGACTCCTTACTAACCACAGGGTCTGGTGCTCTTCTGCTAGTCTTACTGTTTAACGATCAGCCTTTAGAGTCAGGAGGACTATAAGCATACATATATGCACATATGAATATACATTCACATATACACGTGTGTGTATGTATGTATATATGCTTAACTGTGACTGTGTGAAAGCGCATAAATACACAAATATTTATACACGTGTGTGTGTACATACATATGCATTTATATGTTCATACCATTAGATTATAGGCTCCTTGAGGGTAAGGACTGTCTTTTGCCTCTTTCTGAATCTCCAACACTTAGCATGGTACCTGGCATATAGTAGGTGCTTAATAGATGTTTGTTTGATTCACTGATTGATATAAATAAATATATGTAAAGCTGGAACTCCTAAGGAGATACAAGTAGAAGCAAAATCTAATGCTTTTGATTAGTATTAGCACAGGATAGAAAATTCCAGACATTCAAGATCCTAAGAGACATTCAGCTTCACTAGTTACGAATTCATTTTGACATGTAGTATAGTATACATAAATAAGAAGGAACTAGGGGGAAAAAATCAATGTTGTTTTAAAAAAAGTTAGCAATTGAATTGAAATACACAAAAATCTTTAAATATTCCCTCTCCCACTTTCCCTTTTAACTCAGTGGGCAGGAGTCTGACTTCATCTTCAATATGGATAGAATTTAGATCATAACAAATCATCAGCATCACTCCTCATTGTCCTTAACAAGAAGACCTTCAAGTGGAGTTGAATTACATTTTTTTTTAAGTTCACTTGGGACAAATTAAACCCAGAAAACACTTAAAACTTCAACCAATAATGTAATCAAATTGGAGATCAATATATGTTGTGAGTTGATGCAAGAATAGTTTCTGAGGGAGAGGGCAGTTCTACCACCAGCTAAAGAAATCATGAACTTGAGTAGAAAATCAGTGGGTTTTTTTTTTTTTTTACCCTTTAGGCACTTATTCATTGCCTCTGAAAAGAGCAGGAAATACAAATACTGAGCAACATTCTCCCAAAAGCCTACAGAAGGCCACGTGGTATAGCAGAAAAAGTGTTGGACCTAAGAGTTAGAAAATGTGAGTATGAATCCGGATTCTCATACTTAGGAGCTGTATGGCCTTGGTCAAATAGCATAACCTTTCTGGGCCTTAGTTTCCTCATGTGAAAAATGAAGATTTTGGACTTGCACTGTGTTCAGCAGGCAATTATTAAAGGTTTGCAAAACAGAACTGCATTAACTGGATGATCACAAGGGTAGGTCTAACAATGCAGTGCTTCATTGGTATGTTCCTTCATGTGACAAATATTTAAGCATCAACTAGGTATAAGTCATTGTGATGATATACAGCACACAAGGACATATCACACCAACTTTTGTAATCAAATAGCTTACAGTCAAAAAGGAGGAAACCATATTTACACAGATTATTTATATATAAGCAAACTCCTACTCAGTAAAGTGTACTTATTTCTTGGGGGTGCAGTGGTGTGGAGGTCGAAAGCAGCATTCACGCAGAACTGAAAAAATGGCCATGCTCCTATTTTCACAGATATAACAAAACAATAAAACACTACTTTGTTCCAAAAGACGTGATCTCTCCTCTGTAGAAGAGGACATTCAACGGCATAAAGCCAATGGCACAAAACCAAGAGAAAAGAGTTATTGCTTGGCATTGTTAAAAAAAAAAAAAATTCCACAGTGTGCCTCTGATGAATTGCAGGAAAAAAACAAAATCCTTTAAGCCAACACTTGACATATTTACTGAAAGCTAAGCAAGTGTTCTCTAGCTTTGTGTTGATGCCATTTTGTGACTGCTCAGTAGGACAGCAAGTCTTACAAATAAGTAAAAGAATTTACCAAAACAGAGAAATATATTTTCTCCAGTGCTTCTTCTTTCTCTTATAGAAGGTACACCAGTTAAGAGGGGAAAACACAAAGTAAAATTGGCTTCTACCTAACCTTACATATTTAGGCCTTGGTCCATTGATGGTTAAGGAAAAATTCAGCTTCCTGGAAACGTTTGACTAACAAAACGGCAAATTATAGTATAGTGTCTGTGGATAGACAGATACTAGGAGGGGAAGTTGAGGAAAGAGCCAGACTTATCTTAAGACTTGCCTCAGCCTACCCAATGATTGTCCTTGGTATCTTCAAATGCTGACACATTTCAGTCCTCCCTTTGGTCAGAATTTCCTTTTCCCCAATTTTGCTAATCTTTCTCCCCTTTATACAAATTGCTTAAGGAGTGGCTCATTCTCACACAATGGCTTTGATTGTTTCAAATTGGTGTACTGGCCAGTTTATACTCAGTTCTGATTGATTAAATGGGTCAGAAAGTACTCTCATCTAGATAAGGCACTAGAGTTAAATTCTAGTGGTTTCAGCCTCGCCCTTACATTCTTTTAAGATAAAGAACAAGAAACAAAACTCTATTAAATAAATAAAATGCACTAGTGAGAAAATAGATTTATTTTACCATGGCTAATTAGGATAAAAAGAAGGGTAAAGAAGAAAGGGAAAAAAATGTAAAGAGAGAAGCTGACAAAACCCAAATCAGACTTTTGCCGTCCAGAGGTTGGAGACATTCCAAGATGCCAAATCATTTCAGGGAAATCTTAAAGGAAATCAGATGCCCAAAGTCAAGGCATGTATAGGCAGTTTCTAGGTAGAGACAAAATCCATTAGGAGGTGAGTTTTAAGGAAGTGGTGTAGGTGAAATGTCTCAGAAATCCTTGCTCCCTACCCTTTCCAGGAAAATTGACTATCAACCACAAAAATGTTCCACAAAATTCTATACTGCTCTCCATCATATTCTGCCAGAGTTTTTTATATCAATCAACAAACAATTTAAGTTTCATGGACAATGCAGTCCTGTAGGAGAAAGACCCTGAGACATCACCCCAAGAGAAGGGTGGGGGAGAGGCCATGAGGCACCAGCTCCCTTGCATGGAGATGTTAGGGCATCGTGAGGTCACTGCTCAACAGTCTGTTGCCACTAGTGGTGGAGCTGAGGGAGAGGATGGTGGAATGGTAGTCTATGGAAGGACTCACCTGGTTCAAGAAGAGGGCTGTCTGCTACCTTCCTACTTTAATGAATCATTCTTGCCAACTAAGTTCTATGCTCAGTCATTTCTGTAACACTGCAGAGGCTGTCAGTTGCTCTATATTTCAGTGTCCTAGAGGCGAAGCCAAGAGGGCAGAGTGAAAGCAGTGACTTGCTCGAGCTCTCAACCAAACCTCTCCAAATACCTATAAAAAATGGCTCTAAACAAATTCTAAAGCAGTAGAACCCACAAAAAGACAGAGTGAAACAAATTTCCAGCCCCAGGCAACCTGGATGGTTGATCAGAAAGATATATCGCGCCAGGTGAGTAGAGGAGCGCAGTTCAGCATGGGCATACAGGCTGCAGCAAACCTGGAGCAGGCCTCAGAGGACTGAATTGTGGGCAGCTGTGGCAGTTTCCAGACTTCTCAACCCATGAACACCCAAGACAACTTAGAAGGTCAATAGGAAAAGTCTATGACTGTGGTGAGAGAGAAGCTCTGTCCCAGCCCCAGGCCCCATGCACAGCCCCAGGGCAGCAGCTGCTTCCAGAGCTTCCAGCCCACTGACAGAGAGGGAATTGAATGGCTGATAAGAGGGGGATTGCAGGGATCTCTCTACTGGTGCAGGATTCTCTTGCTTTGCCCATGTTTGGATCTGGGTCACAGTTCTGAGGCGCAGTCCTGAGGTGAGGAGGAGCACTGGCATGGTGGAGCTTGTAGTGGCAGTGGAGAGAGAATCCTCCTCACAGTTCCAAGGCAGAAAAGAGTGCTTGTGGTCACTCATAAACCAGAGAACAGGCCAGGAAAGGAATAAACACCTCGCCCCTTATCATATCACCTTGGAAGAACTGAAAATTTATAGGTCCCTAGAGGTATCACTGAAAACAGCTGTATACCCCCAAAGCTTGGGATAGCACATTCTCCACATTGGAAGCAGACCTCTACCTTGATAAAGAGTTTATAACTCAAGTAATTGGCTGGGATCATGAGCAAACTTCACAAAAAGTGTCGGACCATAGAATCTTTTTTTGGTAACAAAGAAGATCAAAACATACAACCAGAAGAAGACAACAAAGTCAAAGCCCCTACAACCAAAGCCTCCAAGAAAAACATGAATCAGTCCCAGGCCTTGGAAGAGTTCAAAAGGGATTTTGAGAAGCAAGTAAGAGAAGCAGAGGAAAAACTGAGAGTGATGCAAGAAAATCATGAAAAACAAGTCAACAGCTTACTAAAGAAGACCCAAAAAAATACTGAAGAAAATAACACCTTAAAAAATAGCCTAACCCAAATGACAAAAGAGGGCCAAAAAGCCAGTGAGGAGAAGAATGCCCTAAAAAGCAAAATTGGCCAAATAGAAAAGGAAGTCCAAAAACTTACAGAAGAAAATACT